GCCAGGCACCATCCAGTTCTTCTGGTCTCAGGCTGATGAAGTCTCTGGTTTATGTGGCCCTTTCTGTCTGTTGGGCTAATATTTTCCTTGTGACTTTGGTGTTCTTCATTCTCCTTTACTCCAGGTGGGTTGGGACCAATTGATGCATCTTAGACGGCCACTTGCTAGCTATTAAGACCCCAGACGCTACTCACCAAAGTGGGATGCAGAACATTTTCTTAATAAACTTTGTTATGCCAGTTGACCTAGATGTCCCCTGAAACTATGGTCCCCAAACTCCCGCCCCTGCTACTCTGTCCCTCAAAGTGTTTGGTTGTATTCAGGAAACTTCTTGGCTTTGGTTTAGTCCAGTTGTGCTGACTTCCCCTGTAATGTGTGCTGTCCTTCACTTGACCTAAAATAATTCCTGTCTACTTTCTACTTAGTGATACCCCTCTCCCTCCCTCCCCACCCTTGTAACCATCAAAGAATATTGTCTTCTGTTGTCTCACATACTTTGGACACGTTATCGGGAAGGACCAGTCCCTGGAGAAGAACATCATGCTTTGTAAAGTACAGGGTCAGCAGAAAAGAGGAAGACCCTCAGTGAGATAGATTGACACAGTGGCTGCAACAATGGGCTCAAACTTAGCAACGACTGTGAGGATGGCGCAGGACCTTCTGTTGTACATAGTGTCATTATGAGCAGGGGAACCGACTCAATGGCACCTAACAACAATAACTAACAGACCAGTGGTACTATTTGCAGAGTATTCTATTGGATAGAAAAAACCTTTTTTTAAGTTAACCTTTGGTAAATTTTACTTTTATAGGTGAGTTTAAAAGAAATTCTGACTGATTCTTTTTCTTTTTAAATTAAGAATTGTGTTTTACTTTCTAAGTAATATCCATACATTATTTTCATAGTAAGTGTACCTATCAATCTGTAAGATTGTTCTGCATAGTTCATCACTGATTCTCTCATCTCCTTGCTTTCCGAATGTAATATTTAATGCTTTAAATGTTTTAAAGATTTTTTTAAACTGTTTGAATATACTTGTAGGAATTTTACTTTACTAACAGATCAGTGACATGTCTGAATGCTTGCTTAGTTAGGAGGGTGGTAGTAAAAGAGAATAAGGGTTTATGTTAATAGGGAACACTTATATAGGTGTGTCAGGAACTGTTATAAATACTTTATATATAATACCCTAGCGTCAAATCCATGAGGTAGGTTCTGTTAGTATCCCCACTTAGCAGAAGAGAAAACTGTGAGTCACCTTGCCAGGACACATAAATAGAAGTGATAGAACAGTATTTGAATCTTAGTCGTCTAGTTCCAGAGCCTCTGCTCGTAACCACTGTGTGATGCTGCCTTTCTAGACTGTATTCCATTTACAGAATTTCATAGTTTCTATTATTACTTTTTTTTTTTTAATTTTTTTTATTGTACTTTAGACAAAGGTTTACAGAACAAATAGTTTCTCATTAAATAGTCAGTACACATATTCTTTTATGACACCGGTTAACAACCCCACGACATGTCAACCCTCTCCCTTCTCGACCTTGGAGGACCCTTTTTTTGGTGAAAATATACATAGCCAAAGTTACACCGTTTCAAAAGTTTCTACATGTACAATTCATTGACATCGATTACATTCTTCCAGTTGTGCTGCTGTTCTCACTATCCTTTACCAAATTATTCCATCACCTCTATTATTACTTTTAAAGATTGAAAAAGAAAAAACCTGTTAATTTGTCCTTAATCCAGTTAAATTTGTGATAAAAGTAGATTTTGATTGTGTTATTTATGTTTAGGAAACTACAGTCGTCGAGAGGGCACAAGAGGCTCCAGTTGGAGTGCTCAGAATACTCCTCGAGGAACTTACAATGATAGTCGTGGAGGCCAGAGCAATTTTAACAGGGGTCCTCTTCCACCATTAAGACCACTTAGTTCTACAGGTATACATCCTCTGTACTCGATATTGTTGAGAAAAGGGAAGCCAGTTCCTCCTTTTCAAATTGTTGAATGTCATGCTCACATTCTGATAGAGCATATTTTGGAATGTAGACCTATAACTCCAAAGTCAATTGTATATCTGAGAATGAATGTCTAATGTAGATTTCTGTAAAAGTAATCAAATTTTAGATACTGAACTATTTGTACAGTCTAAACAGTTTCCTGGTGGTGTGTTCTATTTTTATATTTCAATAAGGAAATCTAATCCATAAGGTATATTTTTTACCGAAGTATTTTAGTAACAGAGGTATCTTTGCACAGTATATTCTATTTTTGTTTACAGTATTCTCTTCTATATGTAAGCACATAACCTTTTCTAAAACAGTACTATATCAAGTCCAAAATTCTGCTGGTCAGAGGTAGCTTTTGGTTTCAAATGCATTTTTTAAAAAATAACAGCTTTGTTGAGATATAGTTCTCATGTATGATACAGTTTACCTATTTAAAATGTACACGTTAATGGTCTTCAGTAGATTCACAGTTTGCGCATGGGTTTTAAAGGAGCCAGCAGTAATTCTTGTCTTGGTTTGAGCTCAGTATCATAGATTAATATTCATTTTGTATAAAAGGAAGGGAAGTTGGAACTAAAAACTATATTCTTTCTTTTATAGGCTACCGCCCAAGTCCTCGTGATCGTGCTTCCAGAGGTCGTGGGGGACTTGGACCTTCCTGGGCAAGTGCAAATAGTGGCAGTGGAGGCTCAAGAGGAAAGTTTGTTAGTGGAGGCAGTGGTAGAGGTCGTCATGTACGGTCCTTTACACGATAAAAATTCTCTTGGGAACATCCTAAATGTGTATGAACATTTCATGAGGACAATAAAAATAAGACATTGAAGGACCAATTTAGACTTAGCAGTTATCTGAAGACATCTGAGAGAATATTTTTATCTGAAGAAAGCAGATTTTGTTTGATACCTAACACAAGATTTCAATAAAAATCCAAACTTTTTATGTATGTTTGTATATATTTCTTCCCCTTCTTGTATGACTACTTATTTAAGAAATTCCTTAGATAGGAAGTGAAAAACTAAATGATTTTTGTTTTAGTGTATTTCTTGACTATAGGCCACAGAGGTTCCCGAAGTTTCTTGGCTCATGAAACCCTTTAGGGTCTCAGTAATTTTTTCACAGCACACCCAGGCCAAAAGATATATCTAATACTTCTGTTTAGTAAGCAGCTTGGCCCAAACAGTAAGAATTTATGTCTTAACAGCTTAGCCAGCTGGAAAAATAATACACATAAATTAAAAGAACAGTTAAATTTCTGTTTCCTTCTTAATATAACCAGTAGTAATTGTGGACAACTTCTCAAACCTTGGAATCAAGATTGGATGCTGTCTCATTTCCTGTTCCACCTTGATTTTTGCACAGTACTTTTTATCACACTACTGAAACCCCAGCTTTGCAAAGATAAGCTGTCATGGAAAGGAATATAACGCTATTTAATGTTGAAAATGTGAACTACCTCAAGCTAGTAGTTTGAGTGATGTCCAACAGATGTTTCTATGTTTCCGTCAAAAATATCTTATGGCGTCCATGTGAATTTACTAGAGTGCCCTGGTGCACCCTTTGGGAACCATGACTGTACCAAAAGAAACATGACACTTTTCTCCTTTAAGTTAGAAATATTCATTTACTCTGTGTCACAGATTTATATCTATCTATACTATTTAATTGAAACCTAGAATGAGGCATATCCTAATGCTATTATTTTGGGAATCAGAAACATCTAATAAAATCTGGACTTTCTCTGTAGAAGTAAAGCTAATAACTTTGATAAAACAGCCATATTTTCCAGAAGGGATGTTTTTAACACACTGAGCCTATATAACTGGCATAAAATACAACAGAGTTACCATAAACAAAAATGCAGTGTATGAGTCTCAATCTACCCCTTTATCAATCTGTTTTGGGGAAATATTTGTGAGTAGATAGAAAGTTTGTTAGGAAGACACCTTAAAGAAAATCTCAGTTCTTTTCCCCTGGATAAAAATTAACGGAGTTGTCTAAAGATTCTGATGTTTAAGTGAAAAGTAAATGGAAATCTTTTTATAACTGTTGGCCTTGAAAAACCCAAGATAAACCCCTTTCAGTCTTGAAACCTAGTAAGCTCTTCTTCAAAGATACATTTTTCAGGAACAAGACAAGGATGCCCTTTATCACCACTCCTATTTAACATTGTGTAGAAGTCCTAGCTAGAGCAGTAAGGCAACACAAAGAAAGAAACGGCAGCCAAATTGGTAAAACCAAAAACCAAACCCATTTCCATCGAGTTGATTCCAACTCATAGTGACCCTATAGGACGGAGTAGAACTGCCCCGTAGAGTTTCCAAGCAGTGCCTGGTGGATTCAAACTGCTGACCTTTTGGTTAGCAGCTGTAGCACTTAACCACTATGCTACCAGGGTTTCCCAAATTGGTAAGGAAGGAGTAAAACTATCCCTATTCACAGATGATGTAATACCGTACATAGAGAACCCAAAAGATGCCACAAGAAAACTATTGGACACGTGAGGAAATGCCTACGATCATTAGCCATTAAAGAAATAGAAATCAAAACTACAGTGAGATACCGTCTCACCCCAGTTAGGCTAGCATTAATCCAAAAAACAATAAATGTTGAGAGGTTATGGAGAGACTGAAACACTTATACACTGTTGGTGGGAATATAAAATGATACATCCACTTTGGAAATAGGTTTGGTGCTTTCTTAAAAAGCTAGAAATAGAAGTACCATACGATACAGCAGTCCCACTCCTTAGAATATATGCTAGAGAAGTAAGAGAAGTCACACAGATAGATAGATGCACACCCATGTTCATTGCAGCACTATTCACAATAGCAAAAAGATGGAAACAACCTAGGTGCCCATCAATGGATGAATGGATAAATCATGGTATATTCACACAATGGAATACTACGCAACAATAAAGAACGATGAAGCCATGAAACATGGAGGAATCTGGAAGGCATTATGCTGAGTGAATTTAGTCGGTTGCAAAAGGACAAATATTGAATAAGACCACTATTATGAGAACTCAAGAGAAGGTTTAAACAGAGGAAAACATTCTTTGATGGTTACAAGGGGGAAGAAGGGTATTGACTAGCTAGATAGACAATAATTAGATGAAGGGAAGGACAACATACACTACAGGGGAAGTCAGCACAACTGGACTAAACCAAAGTTAAGAAGTTTCCTGAATACAACCAAACACTTTGAGGGACAAAGTAGCAGGGGCAGGGGTCTGAGGACCATAGTTTCAGGGGACATTTAGGTCATTTGGCATAAAAAGTTTATTAAAATGTTCTGCATCCCACTTTGGTGAGTGGCGTCTGGGGTCTTAAAAGCTAGCGAGCAGCCATCTGAGATGCATCAATTGGTCCCAACCCACCTGGAGCAAAGGAGAATGAAGAATACCAAAGACACAAGGAAAGTATTAGCCCAAGAGACAGAAAAGGCCACATGAACCAGAGACTTCATCAGCCTGAGACCAGAAGAACTAGATGGTGCCCGGCTACGACCAATAACCACCCCAACGGAATAGGAGAAAAGTGAGGTGCAGAACTGAAGTTCCAGTAAAAAGACCAGACTTAATGGTTTGAGACTGGAGGGACCCCAGAAGACATGGTGCCCGCACTTTCTGTTAGCCCAAAACTAAAACCATTCCCAAGGCCAACTCTTCAGACAAAGATTAGAATGAACTATAAGAAATAAAATGATACTCGTGAAGTGTGTGCTTAGCTCAAGTAGATACATGAGAGTTAATGGGCAGCTCCTGTCCAGAGGTGAGATAAGAAGGTAGAGAAACTGGGTGAATGGACAAGGGAAATCCAGGGTGGAAAGGAAGAGTGTGCTGTCACAGTATAAGGAGAGAAACTAGGGTCACATAACAATGCATGTATAAACTTTTGTATGAGAGACTAACTTGAATTGTAAACTTTCACTTAAAGCACAACAATTAAAAAAAGAAAATAGACCAGACTTACTAGTCTGACAGAGACTGGAGAAACCCAGAGAGTATGGCCTCTGGACACCCTTGTAGCTCAGTAATGAAGTCACTCCTGAGGTTTACCCCTCTTCAACCAAAGATTAGACAGGCTCATAAAATGAGACTAAATGGGCACACCAGCCCAGGAACAAGGATGAGAAGGCAGGAGGGGACAAGAAAGCTGGTAATGTGGAACCCAAGGTCAAGGAGAGGAGAGTGTTGACATGTCATGGGGTTGGCAACCAATGTCACAAAAGAACACGTGTATTAATAGTTTAATGAGGAACTAATTCGCTCTGTAAACCTTCACCTAAAGTACGATAAAAAACAAAGAAAAAGACGGCTGCTTTTCGAGATGGTCCCTGACTCAGTGGCTCTGTGTACAATGGGATCAGTTTTGTGAACCATAATGTTTTCATAGGCTGATTTTTGGAAACAGATCACCAGGCCTTTCTTCCTAGGTTGTCTTAGTCTATAAGCTCCACTGAAACCTGTTCAGCATCATAGCAACACATGAGCCTCTGAGCAGGAGCTGTGCAGGCCCAAGCAGGAGCCTGCTGCTGATGAACACATGTGTGTCCAGGGACTGCAGCAACAGCCAAGATCTATTGGACATCAGCAATGACATCCCTTGCTCCGCATCCTCTTCTGAATTTGGCTTGAATTTCTGGCAGTTCCCTGTTGATATATGGCTGCAGCTGGTTTTGAATTATCTTCAGCAAAATTTTGCTTGTATGTGACATTAATTATATTGTTCGATAATTTCCGTGTTCTGTTCAATCACCTTTCTATGGAATGCGCATGAATAACTCTGTTTTGAAGAAAAAAGAAAACTACTGGAACTAATAGATTCAGCAGAGTAGCAGGATACAAGATTGACATACAAAAATTAGATTCCTATACACCAAAAAGAGAACTAGAAAAAGGAAAACAATACCATTTATAATACCACCTAATAAAATAAAGTGAAAACCCTATGCAGCAGTTCTACTCCGTCCTTTAAGGTCGCTATGAGTTGGAATCGAACTTAGGAATAAATCTAACCAGGGAGGTAAAAGACCTATACAAAGAAAACTACAAAACATGCCAAGAAACCAAAACAGACCTACATAAATAGAAAAACATACCGTGCTCATGGATAGAAAGAGTCATCATTTTAAAAACATCAGTTCTATCCAAAGTGATCTACAGATATAATGCAATCCCGATCTAAATACCAAGAGCATTCTTTAACGAGATGGAAAAACTTGTCATTAATTTTATATGGGAGGGAAAGAGGCCCCCAGTAGGTAAAGCATTATTGAAGAAGAAGAACAAAGTAGGAGGCCTCACACTATCTGATATCAGAACTAGAGTCCTGGTAGTAAAAACAGTCTGGTTCTGGTAAAACAGACACAGACCAATGGAACAATTGAGAACCCAGATATAAATCCAGCTATGGTCAGCTGATCTTTGACAAAGGCCCAGAGTCCATTAAATGGGGAAAAGACAGTCTCTTTAACAAATGATGCTGGCATAACTGGATGAACATCTGTAAAAAAAAAGAAATGACCCATACCTCACACCATACACAAAAACTAATTCAAAATGGGTCAACGACCTAAATTAAAACTGAAAACTATAAAGATCATGGAAGAAAAAATAGGGGCAATGCTAGGGGCCCTAATACACGGCAGAAATAGGATACAAACCATAATTAACAATGCACAAACACCAGAAGATAAACTAGATAACTGGGAGCTCCTGAAAATTAAACTTTCATGCTCATCAAAAGACTTTACCAAAAAAGTAAAAACAGAACCTACAGACAGGGAAAAAAAATTTGGCTATGACATATCTGACAAAGATCTAATCTCTAAAATCTATAGGAAAATCCAACTCCTCAACAACAAAAAGACAACCCAATTAAAAAAGAGGCAAAGGATATGAACAGACATTTCACCAAAGAAAAAAGGCAACTAACAGACATGAGGAAATCCTTGTGATCATTAGCCATCAGAGAAATGCAAATCAAAACTACAATGAGATACCATCTCACCCCGACATTACTGGCACTAATCAAAAACAACAACAACAAAGTAACAAATGCTGGAGAGGTTATAGGGAGATTGGAATTCTTATGCACTGCTGGTGGGAATGTAAAATGGTACAACCACTATGGAAAACTATATGGTGCCTCCTTAAAAAGCTAGAAATAGAAATACATATGATCCAGCCATCCCACTCCTAGGAATATATCCTTGAGAAATAAGAGCTGTCACACAAATAAACATATGCACACCCATGTTCATTGCAACATTATTTACAATAGCAAAAAGATGGAAACAACCTAAGTGCCCATCAACAGATGAACGGATAAACAAATTATGGTACATACACACAATGGAATACTACGCAACAATAAAGGACAATGATGAATCTAAAACATCTCACAACATGGATGAATCTGGAGGGCATTATGCTGAGTGAAATAAGTCAGTCACAAAAGGACAAATACTGTATGAGACCGCTATTATAAAAACTCAAGGTTTACACACAGAAAGAAACCATCTTTGATGGTTATGAGGGAGGGGAGGGGTGAAGAGGGGAAATCACTAACTAGATAGTAGATTAATGGTAACTTTGGTGAAGGGAAAGACAGTACACATTATAGGGGAAATCAGCACAATGTGACCAGGGCAA